CCCTTGGAGTTTAGCTTTAAAATGATTGGTTCTTATTACAACAAAAGAAAGCATTTGCTGCTCCTGCAGGTATTTGCTTTAACAGGGTTTAAAATAAACCTTTTTATGAGAGAATTATGGGGGCTGCTATTATTGATCTCCTTCCGAAAATGCTAGTTGCCTAGCTGACCCGACCCTCCAGCCAAAGCCCAACTCCGCTTATTTTGTTTTGCAGAGCGCCGATGGGCGAAGAGCATCTTGTCAGCTTTTTATTGATGTCCATGTCTCTTTTGGGTTGATGTACCGTCCCTTTCTGTCCAACTGAGATGGACAAAAACATATTTGTTGAGTGAGGAAGGGGTTACAACTCCTGACTATTGTTGTCTTGGCCTTTCTGTGACCACTGCATCTCCCATTTCTTGTACTGTTGTCACAGGGATAGAAAATGAGAGAACATAATATCATTATTGTTATTTATATAACGCCGACAAGTCATTGCCATGCTTTACATACTGCACTTTAACTTCTGTCCCTGCCTTCAAGGAACTTCCCATCTAAGAGCCTTATGTAACATACATAAGAATACTCGCCCAAATACTCGGTATCAGAGCATCTCTACTCTCCACCATCTACAACCATCCGCCTTCACTTTTTGTTGTCACAGTGAAGGGAAATGTCAGTCCTTAGATGGCAGCATTATTTTGCAGATCCATAGCTGTAAAAAATGGTGTCTCCGTCTATCTTTTGGTTCCTGCAGCTTTTTTCTTTTCTTCTGCATTAGAACAGGGAAATTCACGTTTTGCATAGGTCTGAAGGCGGCCTTAAAGTCAACCTGGCAAGAACCTGAAATTGACCATATATAGCTATATGTACAAGCAGGTATTACCTTTACTGCACACTATGTCAGAGCTATTAGAAGATCCACAATACAGGCAGCTGAAGTTATATGCAGATTTGGAGTTATTGTGCTTGGCTCCACCCTTGTACTGTCCAAGCCTTCCCATTGTTCAGTGTTCAACCGTCACACTAAAGGACCAATGAGGAGTTTGGGAGATGACAGGGCCAAGCACAACTTTTACACGGAAAAAAATGAGACTTGAATGTGAATTTAGCAGCCTTTATGTCTATTGGTCATGGTGAAACCTATGCAATTTTTTTCACTTATATGATCATTTTGAATTATCCAGATTTAATTGATTCATATTAAATTATAAATGTATATTAAATTATTTATGTCCAGGTCCACTTTAATTTCATAAAAAAAAATACAAATCTGTGGCTGTTACAGGTCACCACACCATATTGTTAGGTTGCTGTTCACTTCATAGGCTCCTATGTACAATTGACGTGTGAAAATGAAGATGCCCAATATGCTGATTTACTGTAACGTGTTCTACAAAGGAATATTTTCACACCAGTCTGACAGATTTCTCATCGCATTTGTTTTCTCCAGATAAAATCATCAGGCACCGCGCCTGCACGCTGAAAGACACCGCGCACGCCATCATTGCTGCGGAACTGGATCACGAATTCAACAAACTGTGTGAGGAGATTAAAGAATCCAGAACCAAGCGAGGTATGTGTTCCAACATACGTTCATGCTTGAATGTTTTCAATTAAAACTCGTATCAAACAGCAGAATGATAAATGTGGATTAGGCTGGGTGTGTGGTGCATACCAGGATACTCCTATCTCTGTGGATGGGGATACCAATTGTATTTACATTCTTCAGATTCTGTTGTGTCTTTTACAGGTAAATTCATGCTGTGAGCTGCTGCTGTTTAGGATAAGTTCTATATCTTATATGTAGGATATGTTGGAGAAGTCCTGTTTGGGGGGTCAGCAGTGGCAGTCCCTGTATTTCTTTTAATACAGCTTTAAACTAAATGAACCCCCAGCTTAGAGCTTCAGCCTCGAAGGCTAACCGTGCCGCACCAAGATCTCCCAGCGCCAATCTCTGAACCAAAAACTGCTGATCTGTGTTTTTTATAACCCATAGTAATAAGTGCTCTTTCAACCTTCGTTTTCACAGTCCAGCTCAGAAAATAAATTATATATCCTGTGTTGAAATCAACCCTGAAATTGCCTATTTATGTGTTTTATTATCATTTACATAGCGTTGACAATTGGCGCAATAATACTGTATCGGTCATCCACAGCTCTGCCATGAGCTACAGCACCAACCTCCTCTCCAAAATATCACCCAAACCGCCATCTTCGCTCATTCCAAGACTACCTGCTCTCTAGCTCCCTTGTCAACTCCTTCCATGCTTGCCTCCAGGACTTCTCCAGAGCTTCTCCTATACTCTGGAACACCCAACCCCAATCTGTCTGTCTTCTACTCCAGGGGACTAGCTAAACTTCGGCCCTCCAGCTGCAGTAAAACTACAGATCCCATAAAGTGAATCTGAACAGGAGTTAAACCTTAAAAATACATTCAAGTACCCTAACTGTTAACTGTATCTTATTTGTGTATTACTGGGTTGTAGATCCTCAAATCATCTCTGAATTGATGCTGACACTGTCCTTCCTTCTGGAGGGGGGCTACTTTTGTTCCCTATGGTCCCTGTGTGTGTTGTAAAGTAGTCACCGCTCCAAGCTCACTCCCGTGCTGGTCTACAATCTCATTACAAACTAGTAAACTAAACATGAGATTGTATTTCCACAGCAGCTTGAGGGCAGAAGTTTAGCTCCCCCGGTCTTGCACTGCCCACCTTTAAACTATTCTTGAAAGCTCTTTCCTTCAGACTATCCCGCCTCCTCCTGAAAATTGTACTTTTACTTTTTCCATCAGCTCTTCCCTCATAATAATGCCTTTTGTGTCACTTGCCTCTACCTATGGATTGTAAACTTTCACGAGTAGTTTATAAAACAAAGATGAGGTTTGTCCTTTCTGTTAAGAGGATAGTGACGAGGGCACAATATTTCTGGCACGATCATCAGGTATTTTGTGTACCTGCTGAAAATGTTCTTAGATGTGGTGGGAGTACCAGTTTTCTTTTTTCAGACCAAAAACAGGTTCAATATGTAACTTTTCCATTCATTAAAGGACACAGTGAAGATTGGTAGATTTTGACCACTGGCTAAGCCTGGAAAGCGGTACGTGCAGGTTTTGCAAATTCGGGATGCATTCTGTCCATGCAGTGGTGGTCTCATTACATCAGGGGGACCTTCTGGCATCTATAGATATCAAGGATGCCTACTTACATGTTCGATTTTGTCCAAGTCATCAGAGGTTCTTTTGCTTTGCGCTGAAAAAGAATAATTACCGGTTTGTGGCACTCCCTTTCAGACTAGCGTTCGCTCCTCGGGTGTTTACGAAGGTGTTGGCTCTGGTGCGGGCCGTGGTGAGACTTTGTGGGATTTCAGTCGTAGCCTATTTGGAAGATCTTCTCCATCACGCAAAGTCTGTTCGAGTTGGAGTCCAATCTGTCCATAGCGGTGAACTGCTACAGGATTTTGGTTTGGTTCTGAACCTGAAAAGAAATCCTCCTTTGTACGTTCCTTTCACCTGTAGTATCTGGGTTTGGTTCTATATACAACACTTGGTTCCAAAGCAGCCACTTGGTCCTCTGCCAAGTTTTGTGAGGTCGATGTCCTTGCTTCCTCGGATGCCAGTTTTGGGCATTAGGTCTCACAGGTGGCGGTGTGATCATCTTCTGGGGTTTGATCTTTCGCACTTGGTGGTCTCTCTTATTCGGCTTTTTTAATCCCTATGGTCAAAATCTACCAATCTTCACTGTGTCCTTCAATGAATGCAGAGAAAAGGATTTTGATTGCATCTAGTACAGGTTAATGTAAACAATGCTAACAAATTAAGCAATCTTTTCAGAATTGCTGTGCAAGCTACCTTTTGTGCTCTCTTGTGTGTAAGAGAGTAGGAGGCTTGGAAAGATGGCAGTAGTTGGATGCCCCTGGTTTGCTTTCTTTATTTCAAGCACAAATTCAGGGTCCTACAAAAAAAAATAATTACCTTTTAATTTTTTGTTTTTTTTCTGGTTTTGGATAGTGTGGAGGAGTTACAACTGTTTTTTTTTTTGTGCTGTTACAGTCCCATTTTAGATTGACCCCCCTCATCTATTTGTCCTGATCACCAATGTCACTGGGAATGAAAGCAAGGCTAAAGCCAAAATTTTGAGTTACCACCAGAACTGGAATGGGGGGGGGGATTGAAGAATCTTCTAATGGGGAGTATAGTGTATGTCCTGCAACAAGACTTCTCTCACTTCCTTTTGAGTCTATAGGACAGGAAGTGAAAGGAAATTTCTCTTATGAGACTGAGGTTTTAATCCTCCCCTACCCCTTTTGGATATACTTTAAGATGGTCCTCTGCTGGGCTGAGCAACAGTCGGCGTCATCCAACCAGCTTCCTGTGAGCCCATCATGTCGGCACAGCTCCCCCACCAACCCCCCGGGGGTATGTCATCATGATTCCTGGCTCCACAGTACTGCAGGACTGAGTGGCATTCACATGGCATGTCATTAAGGTGCTCAGGCTAGCAAAAGGCCCGTCATTGCTGAAGAGGAAGCATCTGTGACTTAAGCCAGGAATATGCGTGTCCAATTTCGCTGGTTTCTGATGAACCGGGCAAAATTCACGCCGTCAGTGCCGCTGATGGCACCATTCTGCATGGCATCCCTCAATCAGCCGATTGAAGGAGACGGTTAAAAAGTTCTTGGCTGAATGGAGCCAGCAGCCAATCAGCTTCAAGCACCATCTTATTCTGATAGTGGCCGGCGGCTATAAGGAAGATATGCAAATATAGGTGGAGTTTTGTTTTTAAGACAGGTAGACTGTGTCCTAAGTGTAAATGTATTTATTTTTTTCCGCTGCATTGTGCCTTTTAAGGAATGATATCCTTTAAGGAAACCATATTTCTGAATGAAGCGGTTGACTGAAATTCCTTCCTATTTAATTCTTACGGAATTTCCATTAAAAATTGGCATATGGCAGCAATGATGTGGATGTGCAAATCTGGAATATCTTAATTGATTTTGACCTCCTGAAATTCCTGCTGACTCAAAAGAAAACGCCACAGTTCAAAATGCAGCCGAAAAAAAATATTTTTCCGGTGTCACCAAGGGCTAATTTAAAATTTCCTTCTTATCTTCCATGTGCAGGTTTGTTAGTGACTTCAGCGCAAGTAAATCCTCAAAGTTCCGTGAGACGGAAGGCAGATACCAGGACAAAGAAAGCGTTGCGGCGCAAGCACGGGATAGCACTGGATGCTGGGAACCACTCTGGAACCAAATTTGCTTGTGAGTGTCTTTTTATAATTTTGGAGTGCCAGGTGGAGAGACTGGAACACAGACTTTGCTTATATAGCGGGCCAGTGAACTTCTTTAGGCAGAAAATGAAATAGTGAGTGCATTAACCCAGAGCAAGTCATCTGCAGTTATTTTACTGATGGATTTGAACTGTTCATTGCTGTAGGTGGTGACACTCGGCGAAGTATGGTTACTCCCGCACTATGTCTTCAAATAATTTTGATTTTTGTGCATTTGTAAGAATCCTAATTTTCAGTCTGAATGTGTGAAGTTACTTGTATTGCACTGTCCCAGGTCACCTACTTTAAGACTTAAAGTGTAATACCACTTTGCAGTCATTTTGGGCAAACCCCACTATAGGTTTGTGTTCCTATTTGCACAGTGTGTTGGCAGCACACGAAAGGAGAAGATGGGTGCAGGGAGGTCCCCCTGATGTGTTCACATTCATTTTGAGATTAAGGGCCCATTTAAACTTGTGGCAATACATGTTCCATATGTAGTCGGGACCGGATTTCTCACAAGGCCAACCAAGGCCCGGCCTCGGGGCAGCAGGGAGTAGAGGGGTAGCAGGGGTGTGGAATTCCTATCTCACGATGTCATGCAGTTCTGGGGCGTTGGGTGGGTAGTTTTCTACATTTAGCCCTGCTTTGGGTAAGCAGAGCTAAATGTACAGCGGAGAAGCCGCCGCTTGTTTTGTATGCAGCCTGCAGGTCTGCCATTCTCTATCAGAGGCGGGCCTTTTTGGCGGGTAGGGGGGCGCATTGAGGAACCTCTCCTTGGGGCAGCAGAGAGAGTAAATCCGGCCCTGTGTGTAGGTTTGCCTTTCATTTTGAATGGCACCCATGTGCACTAAGGCAACACACATGCAGCGCCCCATGATAGTGTGTGAGGGATTTGTAGTTCTCGATGGAATACAAGTGCAGTCCATTCATTCTTCCTTCCATCCATGTTAGTAAATGTCCATACCCTGACATGGACATGGACGGAAGGAAGAGTCTGTGGGAGCCGGAGCATTGTACCCACGATCCACTGGCTCCATTGCAAAAAAAAAATAATGCACGTTTTTTTCTTATCAATGTGGTATAAAACCCCCAGTGGTGAATAAATACCACCAAAAGAAAGCTCTATCTGTCCCCAAAAAAGGGTATAAAATTCATTTCAGTACAGCGCTGCATGACGGAATAAATGTCAGTTAAAGTACCGCAGCGCTGAATACTGAAAAATGGCCTGGATGGGAAGGGGGTTTAACACCGCGGATGTCAACTGGTTAAATGGGGCGTTAGGGCCGGGGTTCACAAATTTTTGTTTGCATCAGATCTGGTTCTTTTCCCCATATTAATATATGCAAACTGTCAATGCATTCAGAATGATATCAGAAACATCTCAAGTTGTTGGAAGCAAGCTGCCTTTCCAATCAGCACAGGCCTAAAAGGTGACACACATAGCTGTAAACCTGCCACAGGAAACCGTGTCGCCTCCCTGGCTAAGCAGGGTCATGGAAATCGCACCACAACCTGGACAGAATGAGATATCTGGCTGGTAACATAGACTATACGCACATGAACTTTATTGGCATCCCATCCAGTTGGCCCGCCCTTTGCAGCTATAACAGCTTCAACTCCTCTGGGAAGGCGTCCACAAGGTTTAGGAGTGTGTCTATGGGAACGTTTCACCCAGTGGCGGTGAAACGTTCCCATACTTTATATAACAATACTTTATACTTTATATAACAATAAACTGCATAAAGTACTGCTGAGATTTGTAGTCCTCTATAGAGGGTGCCATTCTGCATTGCTTCAACATGTGATCCCTGGAACGACCAACAAGCGCAGACTCCCGTCTCTCAGGCTGTCAAAATATGCATACTGAGCGTGTCGGTAAATATTTAAACCGGCAGCGCGCCGGTTTAAATAGTTACCGACGCACTCGGTATGCATATTCTGACAGCTTTCGGATGATCCGACACTCCCGGGGCAGAGACTGGGGGCCCGCCGGCCACTGGATACCGATCCGGTGCTATCCGGCAGCCGGCAACTGTGCTGGGCCCCCCCAGGCTGAGGCCCCGGGGCGGCTGCGGCGGTAGTACCGTCACTGGTTTCACCATTCTATCCAGAAGCACATTTGTGAGGTCAGGTACTGATGTTGG